TCTAAAATAAAAGTTTTACTAAACTAGACAATGAATATATTTTAATTGAAATCTAGCACCACTTGGTACAGTATACTCTATGCAGAGCATTGTAGCAGTTGTTAACAGTTAAGTGCTGTTTCAGGCACTGAGCTAATCATTTTACATATACTATCATCTCAGTTAGTCCTCAATCCTATAAGGTTGTACCCATTTCACTTACGATGAGACTGAAATTCAGAGAGGTTAAATATGTGAGCTCACATGGTTAATAATACCAGTGCAGAAATCTAACTCCAAATGATATGAGAACTACCTACACAATTCAAACAGCACAATTTAGAAATGAAATCTGAAGGTGACACTAATCTATTTTATTTTCAAATAAAAGACCAAGTGCTTCTTTCAGAAAAGATTAACATCAATGAATCCAATTTTCTATAGTCAATTGATTCTTTACAAAATGGTTGCTGGAATGTCATCTCCTTCCTCTTTATTTTTTAATCCTCACCCGAGGATATTTTTCCATCTATCTTCAGATAGAGCAGAAGAAAGGGAGAGAGGGAAAGAGAAACAGCGATGTGAGAGAGACACAGCTATTGGTTGTCACCCGCATGACCCAACCAGGGCTGGGTATGTGCCCTTGGCCAAAATCAAACCCGTAACTCTTTGGTCCACGGGTTGACACTCCTAACTGCTGAGCCAAACCGGGACAGGGCTCCTTCCTCTTCAAAAGAAAAAAAAAAAAAAATCAGCCCAGTTCGTGTGGCTCAGTGCTTGAGCGTCGACCCATGCACTACGAGGTCATTGGTTTGATTCCCAGTCAGAGCACTTGCCCAGGTTGTGGGCCTGATCCTCAGTGGGAGGCATGCAGGAGGCAGCCAATCGATGTTCTCTCTCTCTCTCCCTCTCTCTCTCTCTCTAAAATCAATTCCCCACTCCCTATGAATCATGATTTTCATTATAGGTACGACTTTTCTTGCTGATATTTAGGCAAAGTGATATTGATTGAATTAAAAAAAAATGGACAAGTAATTTTGTGTTAGTTAATCTGTACTTTCAAATTTTATCTGTAGCAATGATTAGGTAAAATAATATAATGTACTGTCAATGATTTATTAAAAGTTTATTTCATGTAATAAACTATATAATTCATTTTTATTTTTAAACAGTCTACAGCAAAAAAATATTCTTAGAAACATTTTCTCTCCTGGTAAAACAAATAGGTTAGCAGGCTGACATCAGTTTCTCTAATGGTTAAAAATCCCCCATAATTAAACAGTTAAACATAGCCTTTCTTTACATTTCTCTAAAAGTTCACGTTGATACCACTTGATAAAAACAATACAGTATAAACATTTCCATTTTGCCTAAGGCTTTAGATTGAACTGTAGAAGGTTAGATGGGAAATTATAAAGATATATTTGTTAGTCTTTTTTTTTTTTTTTGTATCCTCACCCGAGGACATTTTTTGATATTTTGTTCAGATAGAGTGGGAGGGAGAGAGAGAGAGAGAAACATCGACGTGAAAGGGACACATCGAGTAGTTGCCACCCGCACAACCCAACCAAGGCCGGGGACACACTGCAACTGAGGTACGTGCCCTTAGCGGGAACCGAACCGGGGGTCTCTCGGGACCGCAGGCCGACGCTCTAACCGCTGAGCCAAACCGGCCCGGGCTATTTGTTAGTCTTGAACTCATCATCTTACATGAATATATACCATAACGGCCAAAAGGAGCATAAAAGGAAAAAAAAAAAAAAAAAAGGCACAAAAGGATGCAGTGGATAAGTCTTAGTCCTGTATATTATGAGGGGCCATAAAAGACATTTAATCAACACAATGTGACCAACAAGGAAAAAAACAGTTTACAGGCGGGTGTTTTGTTTTTTTTACTGTTAACCGCAAATTCAATTGTTCTTACCAAATTATTCAGAGGGTATCAAACTTCTGAAATGACCAAATTTCTGTGTACATAAACTGGATTATTTTTTACTTACAAAATAGGATTGGCCTCATGAAATGCACAAAATAGCAAAACCATTTAAGGGCTTGGCAGAAATCAGTACATCTTAGAAAGTGGAAAAAGAAAATATAGCTTTTAAATGCACCAAATGGATGTGTATTCAAAAACATTTCTCTAAGTGTAACATGAATGAGACTCATCGGCATTTGCTGGTGTTGTCAATTGTTGGCTAGCTCCCTCCATGAGAAACCCTAAGATTTTAACATAACTCTCACGATAAGCTACTATTTCAATACTAAAATAACATCACTGGTTTAAAAAAAATTACCTTTCTTTAACTTAGATTTTACTAAAACCTATCCTAGGCATATAGTCTGAAAATAACAGCACATCCTAAAGCTTAGGTATCATTAAAGCTCTTATTACAGGTGGTTAAAGGAATAGAGCCACAGTAGAGTTATGTGGTTATGTGCTGGGACAAAATGCTGAAAAATTTTAATTTATATTTAAATGTGTCATACAGTATATCAAGTGCCTATTGGTTGAACAGAACTGTATTCAATAATTCATATTCTATAATTTCATTCAACTAATACACAAAGCTAACTAGAAAGATTTATAGTTGAACACCGAGCTCCTAAGGCTGGTATCACATATCATTCCCCGATAGAGTGAGAATTCATCAGCCAAGAACATAAGAGCCAAATCGAGAGCTGGATTTAAAATACCTTTCCCTTCTGTGCGTATAAGGAACACACTGTGTAGTGACCTAAAGGATATCTTATGTTATTCAATTTTCTTTCCTGGGCAGACTACCACAGCCCAATGACTTTAAAACCAAACTCCCAAATTCTACCTGATAGCCTGAGGAAGAGCAGGTAGATCATAAAGACAGAAGAGGTCATCTTAGTCATTGATTGGGAAATGTGTCACCCTTTGTCTCTCTGCCATAGTTCCAGGATAATTAAGGCCAATTAGAGGAGGGTCACCAATCAGTACTAGATAGCTAAATAAACAAGTACTGTAAATAGATTTTTATACTTATATGCAGAAATGAAAGAGAGCATGGAAAACAACACTGGGGTGGGGGCAAAGGACAGCTTGTATATACAGAACTTACAACATCCCTTCAAAGAAACTTAGGAATTCTATGATCTCAAGGTCAAACTTAAACCAGCAGGAACAGAGTTGGAATTCCAAAACCTCTGAAAAGAAAGTGCTAATAATAAAAACTGCAGCCAATTTTATGCACCAGGAATGAAATGTTATATCTATCATTCACATGTGGGTTCATGTAATTTATCTTCAATTAGAATGATTATCTATTCAGCAGCTGAAGCCCAAGAACTGCTGATACACTGCAGATGAGCCATTTGCTAGTCTCTCAGCTCTGGCCTTTCTTAAATGATGATCACACGACAGGGATCACTTGTTCTACACACCAGTTCCGGCTTGTGTGGACAGCAAGCGCACCGCCAGCATATACACTGGCAGTGTCACTTCATTACCCTTCAGAGACTCTCAAGGTTCTGTGGAGACCAGTTTTATGGTTCTACAATTCAGTCCTAAACTCATATAGAAAACATTACATGACTTTTTAATCCAGGATTTACTCCTTTAAAATAAGTTATTAAAGCTATTTTTACAAAACAGGTATTTAAAATCTTTGAACTCTGAAGATATAATGCTAATTAAAAAGTAATTTTTATGATATTTATAATTGAGTACTTTATCTCAATAGTCTTGACTTCCAAAGTTGTCAAACCAGAGTCTAAAAAGTACACGAATTTACACATCAATAGGAGTGGATCTGTCTGTGCTCTTGTTTATCAGTTCATACTGCCAAATCAAGAGAAAAACACAACCCAGAAATCAAGGCAACATTCTCTACTGTAGTGTTTTCAGACATATGTTCAGTGATGGCAATGAGTCTTTAGACAAGGATATGTTCACGCTGGTTTCAAGGAAATGGCTTAGAGCCTTTAACATGCCAACAGGCAGGTCTGCGAAGTCCCCAGGTTATTTGTCCACAGGATCTGTTACCCTCACGAGCACCTCCTGGGAACAACGCTCCACAGAGCAGGTCCTGAGAAACAGCTTCCCCATTGGTGTATTCAGAAGCATCACTAATTCCTCAGACTATGAGACATCAGTCTATTTCTTAAAATTAACAACGAAAATAATTGTTACAGCCAATGGTCTGGAATTTCAGGCTCAGAAAGTGAGCATGGGGGCAGGAAGAGGGGAATACACCTGTTTATCATACTAGATCAGTTTCACCTCCCTAGCAAAATGTGTTGAAAAATACCCATGGCTAACCATTCTTGCCAATGGCTGTGCACACCTGGGCAAACGAACCAATTTACAAAGGCTGTTTAAAGCAAAAACAGTGGAATAGATTTCACTTGCCCAAATGGGAAAATGCACAAGTGCCATATAACACAATTTCCAATTACATATTTAGAACTGGTAACCCTGGTTACTACCAAAGAGTCTACACCAGAGAGAGAGAAAGCACTACAGAGCTGTCTTCTTTGAAGCATAACTGAATAATTAGAGTTGCTCCGGAAAACTCTTCACTTGAGTTCATTTACTTTACAGCAGTGTTTCTCAACCTCAGCACTACTGAGATTTGGAGCTGGATAATCCTTTGTTTTGGGAAGTTGTCTTGTCCACAGTAGGATGTTAGATATCAATAGCATCCCACCAGTAGTAACAACAAAAATGCCCCAGATGTTGCTTAGATTTAAGCAAATCATCCCCAGCCAAGAACCATTGCTGTTATGAGAAAATTAAAGCTTACCCTTTGATTACGCTTCCCTGGGAAATGTCCACATTACAGGCACACTGTCACTTACACTCATCAACAAACATCTGGTCATCAGTAACATTAGAGATCTTTCTAAATTCCGTGTGACCAGAAACATAGGTAATTTGTGAATGGTGCAGAATGGTTAGGAAGCAGTCCACACATTTAGAGAACTGTGGTAACTTCGCTGCCCTTATATTAGTTAGAATTATCTGAATCATAATACTTAACTGACAAATATTCTCACAATTAGAAAAAATGCTAATTGTGTATTATAATATGTTAAGGATCATAATGATTGGGGCTGTGTAAGAATAAAAAAATGTAACAACCATCAATGACTAAATCAGACTATATTCTATTCCCTGACCAAACACTCTCCATGACATTCTCAATTCAAAAATCTCAAGTCCTGTCTATTAAACTGCTTATGCTTATACTGTCACCTCATCATTTCTTCCAAATTATCAAAAAGAAACCCGTAACATGTCATGAAGAAGAATCCTGGGGTGTGTCAAGAATTACATTCTCTAGTTTTAAACCCATTTCTTCAATATCCACATCTTCAGTTTCATCATTGTCAGCTCTAGATACATCACTCTCACAATTTTGTTCCTTTCTTATTGTCGTTAAACACTTGTCCAGTCTCTTTATGAACAAGTCCACATCCTGTGCCTTCATTCCGATGGCTGATGCAGCATTGAGGTAAGCACAGGGGTAATTATTCGTATGTGACATGAAGCCTCGGAAAGTGTAGCCATTCACGGTTTGCACAGACCCAAGAGGCACAACTCTAAAATGAAAAAAAAATTACCCATTTAATATAATCTGGTGATATTAGAATATCACCCATAAATAAAAGATATCTGTGTTACTAAGCCTTGTATCTACTTATTAAGAAGTTTATAAACAGCCATAAATCACAGCCTATGAAAAAAGATTGTTAGCCTTAAACTAAAAAGTTGTCCTTAAACTAAAAATCATTTGGAGAAGTGATTACCATTTACTTATCGTCTATTAAAGAGGTATAAGCTCTATTAAAGAGGTATAAACACCTGTACATCTTCAAAGAGATAAAAAGAAAAATGTTTTTGTACCAAATATGGAATCAAACTTCACATATATGAATTTGAATGGAATGGTGAAACTACTAAGTCAAAACCACTTTGATTAATTACCATGTGTCACCTCAAATAATCAAAAAACTAAAATTATACCTATCTGATCAGTGTTACGCAATAAGGGTTTTAAAGCAAGGATTGAGAAGAAATTATGTAACTCCTAACAGTGGGTAGTCAGCAATCAGTAACATTCAGCAATGGCACATGAATTTTTAAGCTTGATTTCATTGGCATACTTGAAATAAGCAGATTTCTAAGAGTCCATTTTTTTCAAAGAAGTCAATTAAGATAAACTTAAACATAAAGACAAATAGTGGCAACACTGAAAACAAGGCCAAACTATGCTGTTATATGCACATAGTTCATCAAGGTAAAATCCAAATTAATCTAAGATTTTTTTCTTTTAAAAAGCTGTCCTTTGATGTGAAATCTCTAACCTCTGGTAGTCAGAGAAAAATAATAAAAGAATGTAAATAGGAATATTTAGAATAAGATATCTCTTTTCAAGTCATTTTTCTCTGACATCATTAAATTTTTTAAAAAATTAAATTTTTTTAAATCCTCACCCAAGGATATTTTTTCCATTGATTTTTAGAGAGGGTAGAAGGGAGGGAGGGGAAGAGAGAGAGACAGAGAGAAATATAGAAGTAAGAGAGACACATCAACTGGTTGCCTCCTGCACCCACCCTGACCAGGACTGGGGATCAAATCTTTAACCCAGGTTCGTGCCCCTGACTGGGAATTGAACTGGAGACCCTTTGGTCAGTGGGACAACACTCTAATCACTGAGTCACACCGGCCAGGGCAATGAAATTAATTTTTTTTTTTTCTTTATCCTCACCCGAGGACATTTTTTCATTTTTTGTTCAGATAGAGCCGGAGGGAGAGAGAGGAAGGGAGAGAGAGGAAGAGAGAGAGAGAGAGAAACATCGATGTGAAGGGACACATCGAGTGGCTGCCACCCACACGACCAACCAGGGCCAGGGACAAACTGCAACCGAGGTACGTGCCCTTAGTGGGAACCGAACCCAGGTCTCTCTGTACCACAGGCCGACGCTCCAACCGCTGAGCCAAACCGGCCAGGGCGAAATTAATTTTTAAACCATGTACATAAAAGAGTAAAATGTACATTTTTCAAAGGCAGAACTTAGAAAAGAATTATGTAACCTTTTTAGGTTATAATATGGGTTTTCCTTAAAAACACTTTCACTTAAATTTAGTAATGAAGATGACTTATTTCTAACACCATTAAGTGACATCACTGAAGATTATCTAACAAAAGGAAATAAAACAAACATTTGTAGAGAGGGGTAATGAACTTTTGTTTCTGTATGTCTATTAAAATAAATAAGATTCTTATCTTTCTGTGTCTATTTCAAGTGTAGGCAGTCCACAGGTAGGCATATAATGGACTTACAGATTCTCTACCTTGTCATTATTTACTGCACAATAAATTCTCAGGGGTAATTCAGTATATAACTGGGGGACTGTTGTTAAAGAAAGGTACTTTATTGGCCAAATAACTTTAAAAAGCCCAATACATCTGAGCCTCTTTTAAACAAACTTACCTAGCTCCAGAAACCTGTCTGGTAAAAAGCATTGAGCCAAGCTGAGTGACAGCTTTGTCACGGTGCTCATCTAGTGTCTTAAGTGTCACAGCTGAAGAAGAAAAAAGTAACCCAATGAGCCTTGGTTCGCCCGCACAGAACTCACTCAAAAACAACACTTAATAATGGAGACAATACTTTTCTGTGTGTTAAAATACACATAACATGAAATTTACCATTTTAACCATTTTTAGGGGTATGCTTAGTGCTGTTAAATACATTCACATTGTTGTGCAACCATCACCACCATCCATCCATCCCTACACTTTTTATCATCTTGTAAAACTGAAACTGTATACCTATTAAAAAAACAATTCCTAATTCTCCCCTCCCCTACACCCCTGGCAACCACCATTATGCTTCCTATCTCTATGATTTTAACTGCTCTAAGTACCTCATATAAATGAAATCATGCAGTGTTTGTCTTTTTTTTTAACTGGCTTATTTCACAGAGACATTATTTTTACTTATTTGTCAAGTGGCATGATTTTACTTGAACACACTTAATATATTATAGTAAGGATTTATTTGTATAACAGACAAAAATATATTAATATAAATTAACATACTCAGAATCGGACAGAATTTCCGTACTACCTCTCTAAAGAGTGAATTTTCTAATTAAACAGATGCAACTATGACATGATCAATACAGCAGTTTATTCAAATTCAACCATGTTTTAAGAACTTATAAAATGATGGTTGTGGGGTGGGAGTCGGGGGCAGGATAGGAAGGAGGGTGTCTGGGGAGAAAAAGGAGAAACATCTGTAACAAAAATAAATTAACTAAAAAAAAAATGCTCCCAAGCCTTCAAGTAGCTGAGGATTGGATATGGGGTTTGGCAATTAAGTAGCCTTTGGGGCACTCTGCCTTTCTAAAAAATACAACAACTTGTAAAATGAGAATGTGAGATATATTTCAGCACATATATAAGATTACATAAGATCAACTTCTGTAAATGGAAATGAAAATTACTTTCTGAGGTTATGTGGGTAAACTGTACCAACAAATAACCGATACTAGGTACCATTTCCTGAGGATGGATTTACCACTCTAGATCGTTTGCAAATATAATCTCAACCATTCTTTACCAATTCTGCATGTGAGGGATCATTATTTCTGCTTTGTAGATAGGGGAAAGGAAGTTAGGGGCTAGTACATGGCAGAATTGGGATTCAAACCATACCATATCGCCTTCTACAACGTCTACACAGATTATAAACCAGCAAAGGACTGGCTGGAATGGGTTCTATGATACATTAATAGCCAAATAGTTCTCCATGGAAGGCCATTCCTGAAAAAAGTTTCAGTTATAAATTGCTATTTACTTACTTTCCTCAGCTATACATGAAATATGAAGCATATTACACTGCATATATTCACAAATTAGAAGGGATAATTTTGAAGCTTAAAAGTTACTTAAATGCATAAAAGTCAATATTCAATTTATCCTATTTAGCAGTTCTCATCTACATGACAAAAATCATAGTCCTTATACAAACAAAGGAAATTATCATAAATACAGAATTCTCTAACATAGGGACCTTCACAAAAACAAACAGTAATAGCATTAAAAGCAACATAAGAATAGCTTTAACTTCTAATATTGTGGTGTTCTATTAACTGGCAGAAATTTTTTAATATTTAGAGTCTGGCCAGGCCACTGTGACTCAGTGGGTTGAGCGTCGTCCAGTGCACCAGGGTCACCGGTTTGATCCCAGTCATGGCACATGCCCGGGTTGCAGGATTCATCCACAGTAGCGGGTGTGCAGGAGGCAGCCGAACAACGGTTCTCTCATCGATGTTTCCCTATCTCTCTCCCTCTCTCTCTCTGGTATTAATAAAAACATATTTTAAAATATATATATTTATAGAGTCCTTACTAGTAACCAAATGATTTTTATTAGAAGCAGGAGTTGAAGTATTATTTTCTGTCTATTCGTTATAATACTTAATATTGATTTGGATTCTTTCAGTATATAGTTTTTTATCTTAAAAATACATTAAAGCATTTTTAAAGGCTAACTAAACCTTTTAAATCTACAAATTAATATTGTAATAAATTCAGAAATATCACTGTAACCAGAAGGAATTCATACTTGTTCTAGAAATACTAGCTTCCTGTTGGGGATGGTTCAGAAGTGCTGATTTTTTTTTAAAAGAAAAAAAAATTACCTAAAGATATGGGATTCTGAGGTGTATGCAACAATCTTTCATTGTAGGCTTCTGACAGCTTCTTTAGTTGGATGGACAAATATGAAAACATTTCCTGCAATAACAAAATGTTACACTTAAAGAAAATCAAATAAATATGTATTGCAACTTGCCAAATTATTAAGATAAAATCTGACTGGTGTAAAGTCTGTAATGTAAATTAAATTAAACTCATCCATGTGCCCTTGGAGCAATTCTTTCCTTTGCTGCACTATAGTGCGATTCAAAGCTGCCACAATTATCAGAAACCACGGGATTTAGGTAAAGAAGGAGGGGAACCAGCACATTTCCTGCTTTGGGGCTATTACATATCTATCACAAATCCATCCTGTTTTCAGAACCTCCAGGGTTACTGCTCTAGTCCAAGCAGCTGTCAACCTCTGCCCTGAATCACAACAATACATTCTAAATGATTCCTCTGCCTCCTTTCCTGCCCCTCTACAATCTGATCTACACATAGAGGCCACAAAAGCATAATCAGATCATGTCCCTCCCAATGACTTCCTCTTGTAAGTACAGTAAACCCTCGAAGCCACATGTTGGAAAAACTGTAGTAATTTTGCTGACATAAATAAATATTACATATCTACAACTATAGTCCGCATATTTAAACCCAAGAGTTACTGCTCATAAACAATGTTTGGTGAATAATTAATAAGTGATCACACTGCACTGTGCACTGTAGCTGCACGGCGTGACTTTCTGCAGCAGTTTTGTTTTTGTTTTTGTTTTTGGGGGTTAATCCTCACTTGAAGGTATTTTTCCACTGAGAGAGAGAGAAACTTCGATGTGAGAGAGACACATCAATTAGTTGCTTCCTGCACGACTCCAACCAGGGACAGGGATCAAACCCGAAACTCATGTACACGCCCTTGACCGGTAATTGAACCCAGGACCCTTTGGTCCTCGAGCTGTCACTCTAACTGCTGAGTCAAACTAGCTAGGGCTCTGCAGCAGTTTTAACATATGCCAGCTGATATTTCATCTGTGTGCTAAGCCACGCCCCAGTCATGTGCATGTGTTTACTGGAGGTGACTGGTAAATGCACACATTTACTAGATCTATTCAGTATAAATTTAAAATTATAGTAATACATACAGAAAACATTTTTGTGAAATTAAACTTTTCATACATATTTAATTTTAACTATACAAATGTGTGTCTACATAAGTAAAAACAGGTAAACTAATTAATTTGTCAATTTTTTAACATATGCATTCGGAAAACCTACTTTATTATATAATGGACTTTTTGCTTTAACAGACACTCCCTCACCCAAATTAGCCCATTATATCAAGGTTTTACTATATAAAAAAAACAAACTCTTTATCTTATAAGGCCCCAAATGATCTGGCCCAGTCAACAAGCCCAACTCAGCAACTGTCCTCACCCCCACCTATTATGACACCAGCCTCCTTCCCAGCAGCCGAAGAGCCCAAGCTCATTCTCCTGTCAGAACCTGTATGCCTACTACCCCTGGCTGGACTCAAAGTTCTTCTCCCAGGTCATTCCATGAGTGGTCCCTTTGGCACAGACTAAGGAGAACTTCCTTAATCACTTCCCTATGAAAGTAGCTCTATGACTCTGTTCCCAGCTCTCAATCTCCAATACCATTACCTATTTTGGTTCCTTCACTACACTCATCACAATCAAAATTATCTCCTTTATTTGCTTATAGGAATGTTGCCTATGACACTCTACCAGAACAGAAAAACTCCTTGAAAGGAGAGACTTTGTCTTTATCACTATTTTCTCAACACCAAGAAAAAATACGCTAGGCTTTTAGAATGTAAGTAACTTAGGAAGAGGTAGTTTAAAAATGCATTTCTTGCCTGGCCGGCGTGGTTGAGTCGTTGAGTGTTGACCCATGCACCAGAAAGAAGGTCACCAGTTTGATTCCTGGTCAGGGCACATGCCCAGGTTGTGGGCTCAATCCCCATGACAGGCATGCAGGAGGCGGCCAATCGATGCTCTCTCATCAATTCTATCTCTTTCTCCATCTCCCTTCCTCTCTCTTTAAAACTCAATAAAGAAAAAAAAAAATTTAATGCACTTCTTTTTAAATTATATAAATTTAAAATTAACAATTCTCTAAACTCAATTTAAAAATTATGGCAACTAAAAACTAAAAACGTATTCATGATCCTACCCTAGAAAACAATGTATCTAATAGAAAAATAAAATAAAAATATATTTTATAAGTATAATATTTCATTTCACATGTAAAAGTTGACTTTAATCAACTTACAAATAAATATTAAGTTGGCAACTGTCTGACCTAAAATGATACTTTCTTCTCCTAGTAAGCCCTTTCAAAAGTACTGAAATAAAAATCTGCCCGCAAAAATCTGCCCTTGAACAACCCAGCCGTAGTCAAAACCTATAATCTCTAAAGATACGCCTAAGAGACAAGGGCCAACAGAGTTTGTGGAAACAGCAGGAAATGATACTTCTCCAACTTCAAAGGCCACAAAAGCTGCTTCGGTGTTGAACAGTAAGGCTTGCAGAGTCTGATCCCACACTGGGACACAGAATAGCTTTTTCATGTCTAAAGCACATTGATGGCTAGTTCCATCTTTTGTTAGGTACTAAAGATTAAAAGACGAAAAATTCCTACCCAGTTTATAAATTATTAACGAGTCGACTGAAGACCACAAACATTTTTACCCATGTTGGGACAGTTTATTTTATAGTCTAACCTGAAAAAATTTTTAACTAATTGTTGTTTTTGAATTTTTAGGATATTTTATAAAATCAATCTTAGCATGTCAGAATTATAAAAACTTAGATCACTAAAAGAAATTGATTTTTTATATTTAAAAAGTTAACCTCCATTTGTCATACCTATTGAATCTACTAATACATGTGATATCTTTTTCTTTAGTCATTTAAAAAAAGTATACAAAAATATTTAAGGAAACAAATAGTATCACCAGAAACAGAAAAAGAAAAGTTGTGCAGGTATCTTTCCTTAGATATATAAAGATTTCTGACCACTCCTTCTTTAATTAATATTTCAATATCCACTTCAGAAAGTGAATCAATAATCAAATGGAATAAAGGAATTAAGAGTTTTTCCAGCAACTGAAACAATTTGTAATCTTTTAGTACCACACCAGTGTTAAGTCACATTTTAGATATTGATTGCTGATTTTTCTTCATCTATATTATAAACCAGAGTCTTAATCTGCACCTCTCTCTTACTCTCATATCCATCAACCTCTTATAAGCAGAAATAAATCTGATAGCTCAGAAATACCTTTTACAAACTCCTACGTCCCCCCCCCCCCCCAATAGTAACAACAAAAAAGTTTTTTCAGAGGTGACAACCAATTTAAAATATTACTCTATCTAGTATGGCTGCCACAACAATCAATGTGGTCACATTTGTAGAGTACAGTTGACCCTTGAACAACACAGGTTTGAACTGTGTGGATCCACTTAAACGCATTTTTTTTTCAATAAATACAGTCGGCATTCTATTTCACAAGTTCATATCTATGATTAAACCAACCACGGGTTGAAAAAAATAATTTTGATCCATGGTTCAGAATCTGTGGATATGGAGGGCCTACTATATATACTGCTCTACGCCATTTTATACAGAGACTTGGACAACTGCAGATTTTGATACCAATGGGGGGGGGGGGGGGTTCCTAGAACCAATCCACCACAGATACCAAGGGCCCACTATAGTTAAGTTTGGAGGTAGTCAAAAGTTATACATACATGGATTTTCTACTACACAGGATGTTGGCACCCCTAACCCCGAAGTTATTCTAGAGTTAATTGTATTTAATTTGTACTTAGCTATTCCTAAAAAGAGAGGATATGTTTCCTTAGTAATACCCCTAGTAGTGTTTTTAAACTTACTACTATATACATGTCTATTATAAAACTGAGATTTTTCCCAATGTTCAATTTCTAATACTTTTACAAATTAGTTTTAACCAAATTAGTTCTTTTAATCACTTGCTAATGCCACTAGAATTCAGCTTTAACTACAGCTAACATTAGAATAAAAATCTTTAGACAATAAACATAATATAAGGTAACTCTCATAAGTGATAAGTCTCATATCACTACTATGAGAATAATCAGACAAAAAAGAAAATATTTGTGAGTGATGTTCACATCCATCTGCAAATATTTATAGTATCTCTACTCTGTGTAAAGGGTTATGATAGGTAATCCAATAAGCAAAGAAGCTTAAATTATCTGAAAGCACAATATACTGAATCCTACAATATTCCACATGCTCTCCCATTAATATCATTACATTTAAAATACATCATTTAGGAGACTGTACCACTATTTCCTACACTAATACTTACTTAGCTAAGCAATTTTTTGCCTGATATATTAAAGGCACTACAGAACCTGCCTGTTTTTTTGCTACAGTTAAATCTATAACTGACATTTATTATAAAATACTTCTGTAAAGGGAGAAATTTATTAGCACCCCAAGCAAATATATATAGAAATATCTTACTAAAAGAAATGAAATATTATTGATTTTCTATGTCATTTTTGCTGTATTTAACTTAATTTTAAAGGACTCTTCACTAGAGATAAACTGAGCTGTATACCTGAATGCTAATGTCAGCTATATTCCCAGAATAAAAATACAAAACTTTATACCATAGTTCAAGATGTTAATGGAAGAAAACTTGAATTATATTAAGCATCACCTTCCCTATGGCCTTTTGCAAATTGATTTGCAGTCATAAAGCCCAACATTCAGCCTGTCCCTCCCCATAACCCAAAATGTGCATAATTCACTAAATTCTAATGAAAAAAGGTCTTATGTAATCATGTTTTTTGAAAAATGCTGTTTCATGTTACAGGATAAGATGTAAATAGAACTTCACATAGTATTACAGTATGCCCCTTAAAGTGGGTAATAAATCAAAAGGGAAACATAACGAGTAATCTAATATCTCAATGACAACATGAAAGGATGGCTGGACTACAAACTGCAGGTACATTTCCATGCACAGATGTCCATATTTGAAGATAACAGTACAAATGCAATGTGCTGCTCTCTATGACTGTGGCCAGATTACAGAATCCAGGCACACTCGGCAGCCTTTGCATCACAGGCTAAAGCACTGCTTTCAAACTCTTCTGTTGAGGCCCCACATCCAGGCCTGGAATCTCATGCTTTTGTTGAGATTCAACCACTCCACTTTTAGGGCTGCAGACCTACTTTGTTTCCAACCCGGCTTTGCTATCGGACCTTGTTTGAAGTAAATGTCTGATGTTCTTTCAGAACGTAGTTTGTCCTCCGAGCTTCAGCTAACAAACTCCAGCCGCTGGAGCAGCCGTCCCGCTGTCATCCTCTTCTGCACTTGCCTAATCCAGCAGATACTTGCAACCACGATTACCTGCCTGCCCTGTTCAACAAAGCACTCTTCTAAAGAGAAAGCTAAGCAGAATAATGGTCTTCTCCAGAAGCAAAACAGGTAAGGATAGACTCCTAAGACTGATCTTTCTTTTTGCTTAGAGAAACTCAAAGAAACAGTCTCTTAAATTTGACCCCTTTTCTTAAAGGCTTCATCAGTTAAATTCATGGTCATTTTTCCCCTCGATGAAGCAGCTGTGTTGATCAGGAAGGGGCGAAGGGCAGAGAGGTTCAATTCACACACATAGTTCCCCTTCCTCTGATCCTTTCACCCTTCAAAAAAGACAGCTTGAGAAGGAATGGCTTCAAGCTGAGTTCTTGTCTGCCTCTACTGTGAAAAAGATAAAGCCTTCTCTGAAGAGATAGACTAGATGAAATAACCTCTAAAAATATCATTGTGGTGAATAAAGGCACAGAATAAAAATATCCTAAGTTTTCTTTTAACACTCCTTTTTTTAGTACGCAATAACACCAATAATATAAAAAGGAGCTCTCAGTGATGGTATATAAATAGCTCTGGCTGGAGCAAAATAGCTTTGCCTCAGCTTCTCCAGAGCTGAACCAATAAACTATCACGATTAAATTTTCACAGTTCAAAAGCAAGTCCATTTAAACAAAAGAGGCCCTTACTTCTGCAACAAATCCAATAAAAAACAATATTTATGCTACATATATGCAATTATGGTTTATGGAGGACATCGGCATTTTTCAGTGAAAAGACTTGCCTGTTGAATGAAGTTGTTAAAGAACAATTTTATTCACTTACAGTGACAGAGTTCTCAAACGAGCATTCTAATACTTTGAAGGTTACTACCGCAGACAGTCTCTATTCTAAGTAAATTCTATACGAAGGATTTTAAATAAAACCCATTAATACAACAGAGCCTTTGGGGTTTTACATACCTCCACTAGATACAAATGGGGTGGTCATGAGACCATCATGTTCGTGGCTCAAACGCCTAGCACAGAGCAGGTGAACTCCCTCGGCACTGGAGCAGGGAGAGCAGTGGTCAGACAGGAAGCAGAGGCTTCGGCCTCACAGTGACCTGAGTTTCAATGGCAGTTCTGGCACTTACATGTGGCCCCTAGGTAAGTAGTTAAACTTTTCTGACCCTCAATTCCGTCAGTAAAATGGGAATAATACGTACACCTCATAAACTTACACTGATTAATGTAAAATAATGAATATAATAAACCTAGCAGAGTTTCTGGAATACCACATACATTCATAATAATATCTGTTCCCCACCCAGGTACTTTCCCCTTAGCCTAAAACAGTTTTCAGGTTAAAATGATCAAAGCATAATTTACACATAATAAAATTTCAAATGTGCACTTTCAGGTGTCCACTTCTGTGAATTTTAAAAAACATGTAACAGTCATGAAACTACTCCCAGAATTTACCACAACAGTTCCCTCTCCCGACCAAAGTTGCTGGCAACCATTCATCTTTTGTCTGTCCTGATATTTTTTGCCTTTTCTAGCTTGGTCTATAAATGAAATCATATAAAAGATATGTACAACTTTTGAATCTGGTTTATTTCATTTAGCATAATGCCTTTGAGAGTCATTATGCTGCTGCATATATTAGTGGTCTGTTCCTTTTTATTACTGTGTATTTATGAACCACAGTTTGTTTATACACCAGATGATGCACATTTGAGTTGTTTCCAGGTTTTGGCAATTATGAATAAAATCATTATAAACATTCATGTCTAGGTTTTTGTACAGGCATAAATTCTCATTTCTCTTGAGTAAGTAGTAAGGGCTGGAATGGCTAGTTTACATGGTAAGTGTATGTACGTTTAACTTTATAAGAAACTGCCAAAGTTTTTTCCAAAGTTGCTGTACCATTTGCATTCCTACCAGCAATGTCTGAGTTCTACTTGCTTGAGATCTTGGCCAATATTTCATAGTTTTGGTATTGTTTGTTTTTAATTAGCCTTTCTAATAGGTGTATAAGAGGTGTTTAAGTATCTCATTGTGGGTTTAATTTGCATTTCCCTAATGACTAATGATGTTGAGCATCTTTTCCTATATCATGAAAATCTTAAGAGATATCCTCATAGCCCTGGCTGGTCTGGCTCAGTGGTTAGAGCGTCAGCCCATGGACTAATGAGTTGTGGGTTCAATTGCAGTCAAGGGCACATACCTCAGTTGCAGTTCATCCCCAGCCCTGGTCGGGTTGTGTGGGAGGTGGCCAGCCGATGTGTCTCTCTCACATCAATGTTTCTCTCCCTCCCTCCCACTCTATCTGATGATAAATAGAAAAATATCCTCTGGTGAGGATTTTAAAAAAAAAGATATCCTCACAATAAAAAGTAAATAATTACTTTCCTATAGACTGAATAACTGGGGGGTAGGGGAAATAGGGTAAAATAAGGCATAACATTTTTAAAACGTATTCATATTTATAAAGCTGTTGAGAGGATCCATCTGATAATATAGATAAAAATATTTTAAAATATGTAAAGTACTATTAGAAAATCCAAGGTCCTATAATTGCTACTAAGTATTAAAAAGTTATATGGATACAAACACTGCACCAGGGATCTCCAGCTCTCCCAGATGAATAAAACATCTTAGTCTGACTCACCCTGCCAACACTATCTCTATCTACAATTTTGGAGCTGTCCTGAATTAAGCTAGTTTTTAGTGTTAGAGACAAAGCCCAGTTTTCAAGCACCAATGTTACTTTTCTTTTCATAGTCAATATAACCGATGAGTTCAACATTCCAGTAATGGCAAGGGATAAGTTTATTATTTTCGAATGAGAAGCTGGCCAACCTCTGACCTGGTTCTTCCTTCTTTGACTAATATTTCACATCTAAACAAGTCTCCAGGCTTCCAAAAACTAAAAAGAAATGCCTTTGCCATTTGTCTTTCAAGAACCTCTATCTAAGTGATAAATGAATTGAATTTTACTGAACTAATAAGAATCCCTGATGTAGGAGTTTCTCAAAACAAACAAAAAAAGCAAAATCACCTGTCCAAGATTCCTCAGAATATCTGTATAAAGAAGATGACAAGCATTAACTGCAGACCCATATGGTGCTTCCAGATTAGAGTATATCCCGTAGGACTGTACTAGATATCTATAATCCAAAGTGATAGACCAACGGGCAAAAACGCCAGTAATTTGGAGTACCATTCTAGTCAGGAGTATTATTTTATACCTAAAGGAAAAGCTTACCTTTCTTTCCTTTAATAGCTTCTTATAGCCATTTGAGCCAAGTGATAATAAAGTAATAAGGACATCTAAAGAAGGTGAAGCTGAAGCTCTTCCTGAAATAAGAACAAAGATGGTTAAAAAGCTTTGGAAATTAAGATTTATTATAGTAGCCTACGTACAAATGGATTTTTGTTTGTTAGTTACTTTTTCTGAAGAGCAACTAATTTACTTACCTGGATACATCTTGCTGATTTCCTGAATGAAGGAATCATTAAAGCCAGCTATTATAGCGCCACCTACTGGAACCATAAAATTTTTGTCCAAGCTCTGTACGAAAGCGTCTATTCTACCAACCCGAGCCCCCTAGAATGAAATAACATGTAGTATTATATATTCGTTTCTAGAAGAGACAACAATAGCTATTAACAAATAAATACCATTAAAATAACATATGAAAATCAAAAACAGATAAAATATTTTTATTTCCTTGCAACAGTGCTAGTAATATATTTTTAAGTATTAAACTGAGTATTTAAATGCTCCTCCTTGTATGTGTAAAAGCACTTTATAGTTTACAGTCTTCTTTCACACAACAATCATTTAGTCCTCACAACAACCCTGTGAGAAAGGCAGGGTTTCAGTATCAGTTCAGGTGAACTATATTGAAACAGGGCTTTTCACCTTAAAATTGGGTAAGAGAGTGGATTCCTCCTGTGCCTCTCATCTGTGATCTTCTATTTGGCAATGTCAACAGTGGGCCCTAAAACTATTAAGTAATTGTAAACACCCTCTGCGAGGTTAAGAGTGGCCACCATAATCTAATGGACTGCAGTCACCCAGCTGCCAAATCAATTAGCTACACATTTAAGTGCCTCTCTTTGATTCTTGGATAATCTACTACACCTGCACGACCACTTAAAGGAATAAGTTTGCTCCTACCACCTCTCAGATAAGAAAAGGGAAAATTTTATTTTTAACATCAACTAATGGAGATTTCTTTCTGTATACTCTTGGCAATGTTTCTACATTAACTCATGATTCCTAATGTTATTATCTTAGATGATCTCACTCCACTGCAAATGAACTTCAAGTGAAAATCTAATATTCTAGTGAAAAACTGAATACTTACTTACCAGAAATATAAAACCAAGTTCCAGTCCCCATCCAACACAGTCTATGACCTTCTACCTAATGTGCTTCAATTTTCTCCTCTTAAAAATAGAGATACTATCTAAATTTCAAGGATGATAGTTTTTTTTTCCTTTATCTGTGGTAACAGATTTTCAATCTGTATTCAGAATCTACATTCCTATTAATATGATAACCGCATTTGACCTTCAGCTTCACACTTTCTCTCCACGTCCATATCTCGGAAAGAATGGAAGCGGCAGAGAGCTGCCCTAATCTAAGAGACCAGATCCAGGCAACAGGCAGGAGCAGCAAGGGCTGGCGGCTATCACATGATTGTTTAAATCTCAACCTTGCCATTATTCTTCTAATTTCCTCATGAACTGTGATCAGAGAAAATCTCACCATATCACAGGAAAACAGAAGCATACATGACTGGTAGAATAAATAACTGAAAAACATGCAAAGTAGTAGCACATAAAAATAAGGTGGAACAGTTACAATTGCCTTTTATTAACTACTGTCTAAGGCTTCCTGAGAGAAACTTGAACCTAAACTGGGAGCACGATTACTAAGAGAACAATCAGTGCCCGACTTTGTTAAACTGCTTCATCACTAAAACACAGAAAGCACTAGAAGGCAGCACACTCTGTGGCAAGAAACAGAGGCTGGACCCAATCTCAGGAAGAGTTAACAAACCTCACTCCTCACACTGAAGTCAGAGGCTATCAAAGAGCAGGGGGGAAAAAAAACCTGAAGGATGGAAGTGCTTAAACAGAATAGGAAACACAGAAGCATGTTCTATGAAGTAAAGAGTTGTCATTTATCAGTTCATCCATTTACTCATTTATTCATAAAACAAGTATGTGGGCACTTATTTGCCAAACATTGTTCAAGGTTCTGGGGATAGCAGCTGTGAATAATACTTACAGCTAACCCTTGAACAACGTGGGGAAGAGGGGTACAGAGCACCTGCACAGTTGAAAATCTGCGAATAACTTAAGTTGGTCCTCCACATACGCAGATTCCCAACTGCCTGACTCCAGGAGAGGATGTGGATCACTCCATCTACTCCGACACCCCTCCCCGCAAAATATGAGAGCCTTCACTAACACCTGTCATACTTAGTGTTTCCTGTCTGCTTCTGCTCCATGAGGAGAGGATTTTGTTGTATTCATTACTGCTTTCCTAACACCTATCCTGGTGCTTGGCACATCAGTGGGAGCCCTGCAAATATCTGCTGAAGGAATTGACAATTAGGTTTGTGAATAAGTAGTATAAAACCTACTTCTCTCAAATTCTTAATAAGTAAAGTTGCTGCTTCCTACATTTTGAATCTTTACGATCCATTCTAACTCTAAAATAATTAATTCTATGTATTTTTGTAATTCTACTACATCTCCTTCCATTAAGCTGTCCTAACATCCATATTCCTTGCTTCTCCTAAATTAGTCAGTTCAGCATATAAACAGAGTATAGGTTTTTCAAAGCTAACTTCCTGGGAACTACATGTACATAGAGAATGAGCTATCTGTTCAGCATTAAGTCATTTTGGGGCACTGCCCTTTAAAAAAGAGCAAATCCTCTGGGGGTGGAGGCGGGATCAGGAGGAGAGTGTCTAGGGTGGAAAAAGTACAAACATTTATAACAAACATAAATTAATAAAAAAAAATGCAAAAACTAAAATAAATAAAGCAAAGCCTGACACATTTTGGTTATAGCTCTTGCATCACTGGTTGACTCGTTATTATAACATAAGCTCCCCAATAAAGTATTTTCAGTTTTATTACTTTATCTTTTAAAGTAAAATATAGGGCTTTGGAGTCACAATGAACTACATGGACCATTTTGTAGCTTTGGATCTTAGGCAACTCGCTTAATCCTATTGAGTTTGTTTCTTCATTTGTAGAATGAAAACAATAAGTACTCCTTAAATTGTTAGGGTTGCGTTAATAAACTTCAAAAGTCTAGCAGGATGACTGACACATGGAGAGTGCTCAGTAAATGATATATATACTAATAAGAACTACTGGGAAGAATTAAAACTAATTTTTTTAGAATGTCATGAAACAGCAACCAGCACACAATACGACCCAAGTACTTATTTGACTTAAAGCAACTGTGCCACCACCTCTATTTGCGAGGGGCACTTTAAAAATGAAATGCTTTTGTACTGCTTTTTCTGAATGTGAATAAATGACAATTTAGAAGGTAATACAGTATCTGCAACAACAGCATAACTACATTTTAAAAAATTAATTCACCTATCTTATAGTGTTATTTTCTACTTAAATATTTAGTAAGTCCACCTCATAAATGAAAAGAGGTGATAACACAGTAGGATATTCCTGATACACAACTACAAGGGCTCATACCATATCATATCCTAGAGCTCATTTTCTTTTCATCTTAATCTCTTCAAGTATGCCACCAGATTTCTAGTATTCAAAAATATGTGTGAGCACCAAAACATGGAGCACTTCCAGGTTAAGTAAACAACATTTGGGTAAATGCAAAGGAACCATTAAAGCAATCATTATAAAACTTTACAGGTATGGCCCTGGCCAGTTTGGCTCAGCGGTTAGAGTGTCGGCCTGCGGTCCGGAGAGACCCGGGTTCGGTTCCCGCTAAGGGCATGTACTTCGGTTGCAGTTTGTCCCCGGCCCTGGTTGGTCGTGCAGGTGGCAGCCACTCGATGTGTCCCTTCACGTCGATGTTTCTCTCTCTCTCTCCCTTCCTCTCTCTCCCTCCCACTCTATCTGTACAAAAAATGGAAAAATATCCTCGGGTGAGGATTAAAAAAAAAAAACTTTACAGGTATGTGGAGAGTATAAAACTATAATCTAAGTTTACATTTAAGTTTAAAATTAAATACATGTTTACTGTTTTTAAAAGTTAATGCATCTAGTACACAATAACTACAACTATATAAAGAGCAATAAATGTATATAAAAGAAAAGTGGATACAAAAATTACTATGAGTATTTGTTAAGGTAACAGGGTCATGAATGAGCTTCTACTCCTTCCTCACTTTTCTAAACTTTTAGTAATGCTGATGTTTTTTACTTTTAAAAGTATTGAGGTTGCTAAAAATTGAGGAGGAGGAGAAGGGGGAGATGGAATAAAAATGAATCACTGAAATAAAATTATTTTTAAGATTTCCAGAGTAGAGAATTATACAACCTTCCTCTGCTACCATTTAAATGAGATACAATCTAGTTTAGAATTGTGATGTAGCCTTTAAAAGTTAAGAAATAAGCCCTGGCCGGTGTGGCTCAGTTGGTTGGAGTGTCATCCCACGAACCAAAGGGCCACGGGTTCAATTCCTGGTCAGGGCATACACCAGGGTTGTGGGTTCAATCCCCAGTGGAGGTGCGTAAGGGAGGCAGTGGATCCATCTTTCTCTCGCACGTCGATGTTTCTCTCTCTCTCTCCCCCTCCTCCTTCCTCTCTCTCTCAAATCAATAAAACTTATCCTCAGGTGAGAATTAAAAAGAAACAAAGCTAGGGAATAATAGAAAAGAATACCAAGAAAATGGTAGTTCTCCTCCAAAGATCTTATGAAATGCTGACAGACAGTGTCTAAAGTGTACTATGCCCTTGAATTCTTATGTAAACAAGTCTACTTCCTTATAGGTTAAGCTAATTTGAGTTGGAATTTCTATTACCTGCAGCCAATTACATCCTCACTTGTATAACCTTTGAGTAAAGAAATCAGCCAACCAGTCATTACTATCATATAAACTACATTATATTGGAGATGATACTAGTATTTTCAAATGATAAAAAACAAAAATTTACTAGAAAAGATCTACTGGGCTAAGGAGTCTTCACCACCATGTTGGAGAAGACCACAGATAATCTGTAAATAGCCTGTGTCCACATGATATAAATCATATGTATTTCGAAATTGAATATGTGATTATGCACACAAATTATGTAACTCATGTCATACAGGGATAATATCTATCCATATCCTACTACAGTATGAATAATTAATCATTGTAAGTAAATATAATACTTCATTTATTCATTCCCTTTTTTCAGTAACTAGTTATTGAGTGTCAATTATGTACCAGGTACTCTCTTAATTACTGAAGACATAGCAAGAACAAAACAAAGTCTTTGCCCTAACAGAAACTTAATTCTAATTACTGTCAATAACTAGATAATAAATAAATAACCTATTTAATGGTACTAAGTCCTATGGAATAAAAGAACATGAGGCTATCAATTTTTAAGAAGCTTGCCCTGGCCAGTTTTGCTCAGTGGTTAGAGCGTCGGTCTGCGGTCCAGAGAGACCCGGGTTCAGTTCCCGCTAAGGGAATGTACCTCAGTTGCAGTTTATCCTTGGTTGGGTTGTACGGGTGGCAGCCACTCGATGTGTCCCTTTTACGTCGATGTTTCTCTCTCTCTCCCTCCCACTCTATCTGAACAAAAAATGGAAAAATGTCCTCAGGTACATTTTATCCTAAGGATAAAAAAAAAAAAAAAAAAAGCCACCACTAACTAGGTAAGAAAAGAACTGCCAATTAACATTATAAGATACCAATGATTGTAAAACATCCCAATTTCAACATGTTATAAAGTGAAAAAATATGCACCTTAAAATCAATGAAAATGGTAAAACAGGAAAAGGGGGTAGAAATGCTGGCAAGGAAGAGGAAGGTGTTATTTTAGATAGGGTGTCTGAGATGGTCACATTGACCTAAAGAAGAGTGACCCATAACCACGGCCAGGGCCAGAAGCTGCAACCCAACCAGGGCCAGTGATCGAAGAAGCCATGCAACTCTCTACAAGAGCGATCCAGTGAGAGGGATGAGCAAGAGCAAAAGGCGGGTGGTGTGCACATGTGGCACGACAGAGAAAGAAAGCACGTTCCAAGAGAGAGATAATGGGTAAGAGGAGAACAGTAGGGAATGAAATCAGAGAAGCTGCAGAGGACTAAATACACAAAGCCTAGCAGGCCATGGCTGTGACTTTTATTCTGAGTGGGATGGGAAACCCAAACACATTTTCAAAATAAGAATCTAAAACAGCCATGGCCGGTTTGGTTCAGCAGTTAGAGCGTTGACCTGCGGTCCGGAGAGACCCGGGTTCGGTTCCCGCTAAGGGCACGTACTTCAGTTGCAGTTTGTCCCCGGCCCTGGTTGGTCGTGCGGGTGGCAGCCACTCGATGTGTCCCTTCACGTTGATGTTTCTCTCTCTCTCTCCCTTCCTCTCTCTCCCTCCCACTCTATCTGTACAAAAAATGGAAAAATATCCTCGGGTGAGGATGAAAAAAAAAAGAATCTAAAACAGATGAACAGGATCTAGCTGATGCTTATAAAAATAAAATAAGCCCTGCCCTGCTTGGCTCATCAGTTAGAGCATTAGCCTTTGGACCAAAGGGTCCAGGGTTAGATTCCCAGTCAAGGGCATATACCTGGGTTGTAGGTTCGATCCTTGGCCCCAGTCGGGGTCATGGGGGAGGCAACCAATCAATGTGTCTCTCTCGCATTGATGTCTCTCTCTCTCTCCCCACCCCCCCTTTCCTTCCCTTCCACTCTCTAAAAAAGTCAATGGAAAGACATACTTGGGTGAGCATGGGTGAGGATTAACAGAAAAAATAAAAAAATAAAATAATAAGTCATAACATTTTTTAAAACTTACCTACTCCACAGTTATATGCTAAAATGTTTATAAATGAAGTAAGTCATTTCCAGTCTAGGATAATAAGGTAAAGTGATTTTCTTAAATAGTATATATAGAAAAAAATCATCAATTTAAGTTTTAAAAATAGTATAATCCAGTATATTAGAAAAATGAGAATCCTGGTTATGAAACACTCTCAGAAAGTTAATAACTAAACTCCTAAAGTATTTCTATGTTGGTTCTGACCAAAGCTATTAGTCCAATTACCACCATACTACCAAAATACAACTTTTACTGAGGGAATATTGCAAATTTCTAATGCTCCATAAAGTAGAAGATGCTAGATAACTGTTTTTACTATATTAGATTGCAATAAAAACAAAGTAATAATCCTATATGTTAAAATATATTTTTCTTGACATACATACTTTTTAAACTCTCTTACCTGCTGAATGAGGTGCATACACTTTGAAGACTGCAATCCATAAGCATTGTTGACTATATGCGGAACACCATAATTAGCACAAATTATAGCCAGTTCTTCTAATCTATAAACATAAATATGCAATAAAGAGACACTCATACTGTGCTTTTATAAATTAGTGTAAAAACTAATTTAATAGTTATTGTTAATATACACAAGCAAAAAAATGACAACTCAGATTTCTACAGCAGTATTTTAGCATATGATTTGGCAGTTTGGCAAGCTATAGCAGGCACTTTAGGGTAAACTTTTAAAAGCTTTTAAATTTATAATGTTACCAAAAAATAAGAAAATGTGTATTTATAAAAATCTGTATAGATAGTAGCTTTTAAGTCACTTTAAAATTTCCTTTATAGCCCTGCCCAGTCTTGCCCAATGGTTAGAGCATCAGCTCAAGGGTCGAGGGTTTGATTCATGGTCAAGGACACGTACCTGGGTTGCAGGTTCAAACCCTGGCCCTGGCTGGAGTCATGTGGGAGGCAACCAATTGATGTGTGTCTCTCACATCAGTGTTTGTCTCTCTCTCCCTCTCTCCCTTCCACTCCATCTAAAAAAAATCAATGGAAAAATATCCTCAGGTGAGAATTAACAACAACAGAAGTTTCCTATATAAAAACAAGAAGCAGATTATTTATTATGACCCTTTATGATGTAGTATGCTCATGTTTAAATGCTTTTTTGGTTGTTCACCATACTAAAAATATCTGCAGCCCTGGCTGGGGTGGCTCAGTTGGTTGGAGTGTTGTCCCATAAACCATAAGGTCCCAGTTTAATTCCTGGTCAGGACACATACCCAGGTTTCGGGTTCGATCCTCAGTAGGGGTGCATATGGGAGGCAACCAATTGATGTTTCTCTCTCACATCAATGTCTCTTTCTCTGTCCCTCTCCATTCCTTTCTCTTTCAAACTAATTTTTAAAAATGGGTGAGAATTAAAAACTATATATGTACTTACAAAATAATGAGCATATCTTGAAATCTTAATAAAGCTCACATTAAACAGCTTATAATGTAAAAAACACATTTTCAAACAGACTTCAATGTATTAATAAATACAGAACATTAAAATGTTTCAGTACCAAAATAATATTTTCCAACAACTTGTATACTAAAGAATTTGGTTTTAAAGTCACTCTTACTTTTAAATTGACCCTCCTTATATTAAGACAATCTGACACAGGAATGTATAGTACAGCATAGGGAGTATAGTCAATAATACTGTAATAACTATGTATGGAACCAGGTGATACTGGAAGAACCAGGGGGAGCACTTTGTAAAGTGTATGATTATCTAACCACTATGCTGCACATCTGAAACTAAAACAAAATAATACTGAATGTAAACTGTAATTGAAAAATAAAATTTCAATTAAAAACAGAAACATAAAAAAAGACAATTTGAGAGTCTAACTTTATGCAAAATAAGGTCATTAAATTTCAATTAGAATAAATGATATTCCATTACAAAATCAAATACTATGACTGAAGTTACCTTTAACAAAAATATGTTCACACTATAAAGCTATGGTTTAATAAAATTAACTTTTAAAAAATATTCTTTCTACTATATAAAGAATTTGGAAGCAAAACATTTTTATACCATGAATGCCCCTTCCCACCGGATGTATTTCAAATATATATTATATAGTTTTATTATCCATTTATGCATAATTCATTTTTTTATATAAATGTGCATCAATGTTTTTAAACTACAAATAGAAATAACTTTATTCTGTTCACCTGTCAGAAGTTTTCAATTTATTTCCTTAGAGTTTATGAATTAAAATTTCATTTTATCACTCATTTTCATAAATCTCATAAATCAACACAGAACACCTTACTTAAACTAATCTGAGTTGTTTTTAACAAAATTGACTTTCTGAGATACACAGTATTTTCTTCAAAAAAGGCACTTTCAGATGTTTGTGTTCTAACAAAAGCATTCCTTAAGAACAAACTTCCTTGAGAATAAGGCACCAATAATAACAAAAGCACAATTATTTTTTAAAAAATCACTTATGCCCTAGCTGGTTTGGCTCAGCAGTTGGAGCACTGGCCTACGGTCCAGAGAGACCCGGGTTCGGTTCCCACTAAGGGCATGTACCTTGGTTGCAGTTTGTCCCTGGCCCCGGTTGGGGTGGCAGCCACTTGATGTGTTCCTTTCATGTCGATGTTTCTCTCTCTCTCTCTCTTCCTCTCTCTCCCTCCCATTCTATCTGAACAAAAAATGAAAAAATGTCCTCTGGTAAGGATAAAAAAATAAAAATAAATCACTTATGAGTAGTTTTAAATATTCTGAATTAATCAAATTTGCTAATATTTAGAGTGTATATAAAGGTATGTAGTAAAAGGCAAAGAGATACTGAAAAAATATTTTCCATGAGAATCAAACTCTATTCTAACTTAAGAGGCCAATTTAAAATGTTTGTCAATTAAAGTCATGATACCCTTCCTTTTTTTTTTAACATTTCCCTTGGCTGATTTTTGTCCCACAATGCTCTCTGTCCAATTAATGAATTAATAAAGACAGTAGCTACCCATTCAAATTAAGACTACAAAAGAATTAAGCTTAATGTAATCAAAATGTATTTTTAAATTTAATAAAATCAGAAATTCAATATGTTACTAATAATGATACATCACCATTTTCCTAAAGTTCACTCTTAGAAGAAACATTCATCATATAATACCACTAGAAAGTGATATATGAGAATTTTACTAATTAAAAAAGCTTCATGATACATGTAAAATACTTAATATTGCACCAGGCACGCTATAAACATCCAAGGAGAGTTATTCAAGATGAAACAAAAACAATACTATCCTCAAGGATAAATAATCTAACTAACAAATATCTGTGTGCTGTTTTGGAAATGTGATTTATTTCTATCACATTAAAATTTTTCTAGATAGCAAACCATCAATGAAGAAAGAATAGAGATGTTTAATATTTCCATGTAAATTTAAAATATAACTGGTAATAAATAAAGCATCTACAATACAGGGTGGGACAAGACTAGGTTTACAGTTGTGAGTACGTGAAACAGAGTTTATTCTTGTATTATCATTTATTAATTCTTGTTATTATTTTCAATATAATCTCAAAATAGAATTCACAGACTCGTGATTGAAGCAAGGTAAATTTTCAAGAGCATGGTTTTAAAACTGTCTCTTAAAGTCCGTCTATGAAATAGTAAAAGCTAAGATGCATTCGTTACTGCCAAATTATGTGATTCCATGGAAACCAAAGTATAACGTGATGCTACAAAAATAGTACAAAGTCAATACAATTTTAGCAAATTACTAACAATTCAAAATGTTAAAAATGAAACAAAGACTTATTGTCAAAACTAGAAATCTGTATCCCTATAACTCAGCCTATTACATTTTCAGAATAAAAATGTGTCCATCCTTTAGAAAAGTAAACATTTGCTTTTTTTTCCTTTTTGCTTTTATTTTCTTAAACATTTGCATTTTTCTCAGAATGCAAAGACAACCACTATGTACACCTAAGTGTACATCTGGATTAATCTTCTAATTTACAAATATCCAAAGGACAGTAAATAATTCTAAAAATTTCTGTTTAAAATCTGTTACTACTGATAGTTCCTACACAGGAAAACTAACTGTAAGATCAAAGAAGTAGAAATAGCAATGAAAATAAGGAAACCCAATATTTAACTTAGAAACTTCTATTAAGTAACAAGAGAAAAGATGCTAAGAGATCAGAACCAGAAAAAGAGCAAAAAAACAAATGATCTGCATCTAGTCGGGTGATAAGAGAATCTCCACTTGGTAGTATTAGTTGTTTTTCCTTCTTCTAAGTCAAATTTTTGTTTTCTCAAGAGATGATGTTGTTTCTCCACAAGGTCAATCTATCGCTTAGAACAGTTCATTCAACTATTTACCGCCAAATGTTACCTAAGCATCTTTGAAAATTAGTATATGTACACTTTATTTAAAAGTCTGACGAATACCTAAAGGATAATATACACGAATCATTTACCTATCAGGTACCCTTGGAGCAAAACAGGATGTAGTAGAATGAACACACAGCACGTTATCAGGCCCAAGTTCCTGGATTTTAGCTTCCACTGCTTTCAGGTCTGTGCGCAGCTCATCACCTTCTAAAATGTTCTCTATCACCACGGGCTCAAAACCTAACCAAGCCAACCAGAAATCAAAATATTAGTGTAAAACTAAAATGAGAGAAGATCCTGGAACTCTAGGAAGCAGCACTGTTCTACACAGGAACTCTAAAGTACTTCTTTTGGTCAATAAATCCTCCTCTAGCAGCAACAAAGACCTGGCTCAGTACTGGAATGAGTCAAAGGAAGGTCAAAATAATGTGAAAGACCATTAGACCACAATTAGGACCACAAATCTACTTAGCACTTTGATATGGCAAGAAAGACCAATTATGGGGAGTAAGGAGAACAAATGTTAGTTACCTATAAAAGTAGTAAAAGTCATTGATGACAAAAAGGATCACTTAATTCAGTTCAATTTCAGTCCACAGAAAAGTAAATCAACACATTTTCTGGCAATCCTTAAGTTTTATTTTAAAGTTCACTTTATCTCAGAGATGAACAAAAATAACTCAAGTATTGAAACAAATCACAATCATCAACTTAATGTTTTACCTCTAAAGAAAAGGGTAATGAATTTAAGTAGCCTAGGGATCACCGACTCATCTTACTTACAAGGGCCTTCTATAAACTAAATATAAAAATTGTTTTTCAACCCTGGCCGGTTTTGCTCAGTGGTTAAAGTGTCGACCTGTGGACCAGAGAGTCTCGGATTCGGTTCCTGCTAAGGGCATATACCTCGGCTGCAGTTTGTCCCCACCCAAGTTGGGGTTATGTGGGTGGCAACCAGTCAATGTGTCTCTCTCATGTCGATGTTTCTTTTTCTCTCTTCCCCTTCTCTCCCTCCCACTGTATCTGAAGATAAATGCAAAAAAAAAAAAAATTGTTTTTCAATTTTCAATTGAATTAGTACACTTAACTAGCATGTGATCAAAGGTCCACCCAAATAATAACTATGTAACCTTGTATAGCAAGTATTTAGGCATTTGTAAACTTAAAAGTTGTACAAGCAATACATACACTAAATGTACAAAATACTTATATAACTAAGTACTCTGTGATACTAGTTAAGTACTTAGGATAAAAGTAAAACCTAAGGGTTTAGGTCTCAGAAATTAGATAGAAAATAAACCTGGGAAATTTTGCATATTAAGTTATTATGTAGGCATATCTTCAGTCTTCCCAAATACTAAATCTAGCAGCAGGCTAGATTCATAGATTTAAAAGCCTAAAGGATTTAGAAACCATTTAGCTCAACTCACTCATTTCAAAGATAAGGGAGCCAAAGTTCAGAGAGATTAAGTGGTTTCCCCAAGGTTACACAGCAAATTATAGCAAAGTTACAAGCGTGTAGTTTTCTTTGGTGGTTTAGAATCCACATCAAGTTGTCTGCATTCTCTACAGAAATATAAAACCTTGGCCACTATAAAATCATCATTTCAAATATGGGATTCAGAGATGTCCAGGATTTTTTAATGCATACCTTCACAGCTATTAAAGCAAACATACAAAACTTAATAAGTAAACTCCTGAGGACAGCTAATTTTCTACTATTTCTCAAATTCTCCATATCCAATCATATTTTGGCTTTCAAACAGTTAACATACAAGTTTTTTTTTTTAAAAAAGAATACAACGATCTTGCCTCCTAAGAATAGATGCTCTGCTAAAAAAGAATAAACTGTAAATCATAGTCCAAATCATAACATCTTTTGAAAAAAAGTTTCCAGTTTTTTCACTAAGGCAATGGTTTCCAAATTCCAAGAATTTGGTTATCAATTCTTTGTAAATAGGATGCAAATTAACAGACTTGACAACTTTATACCACTTAAAATAAATCAGTATATGTTTAAAAGTCTATCAGTTTCTACTTTATGTCCTTATTATAAATCCATTTACAGGAGTTTCTTTAGGATCATTTATGCAGTTTAATTACAGCCCAATATTGTTCATGTCGTACAATAGACTGAAGCCATTCAAAAATAACCTTAAATTCTCAAATGTGACTCGACTTAAGCAAGCCAAATACTAAAATACCAATATAAAGTTTTGTCTCATCTATACTTAATGACACCTGTTATCCTTGCACTTTGATTCATGGTAACAATTAGGGTGTACTCCACTCATGTATATACAACAAACATGTCTAAGCACCTTTCATGCTCCAGGGATTATTGTTGGGCATTTTATGTCACCCCATTTAGTTCTCAAAACAATCTAGGGAGGAGCTAATCATAACCACATTTTAAAGACCAGAGATATATGATCCAGAAATTCCACTTTTGAGTATATACCCAAAAGAATTAAAAGCAGGGACACAAGCAGGTATTTGTATACCTATGTTCACATCCATATTATTCACAATACCCAAAAGGTAGAAGCAACCTATGTGTCCATCAATGAATTAATGGGTGAAATAAAATGTAGGTTACACACACACACGCATTGTCTTAAAAAAGAAAATTCTGACACATACTATACCATGGATTAAATCTTAGACATAAGTAAAATAAGTCAGTTATAAAGGACAAATACTCTAGTCAACTTCATAGAAATAGAAAGGAGAATGATGATTGCCAGGGACTGGGAGTAGCAGGAGGGGGCAGTTACTGTTTAATAGGCAGAATTTCAGTTTAAGGGGATGAAAAAGTTCTGAAGAGGAATGGTAATGATGGTTTCACAACAATGGGAATGTACTTAATGCTATGGAACTGTACATTTAAAAATAGTTAAAATGGCATTGAACATTTTTTCACGTCTCTTGGCCATTTATATGTTTGGCGAAGTGTCTATTCAGGTCCTCTGCTCATTTTTTTTTTTTTTTTTTATCCTCACCGGAGGACATTTTTCCATTTTTTGTACAGATAGAGTGGGAGGGAGAGAGAGGAAGGGAGAGAGAGAAACATCGACGTGAAGGGACACATCGAGTGGCTGCCACCCGCACGACCAACCAGGGCCGGGGACAAACTGCAACCGAAGTACGTGCCCTTAGCGGGAACCGAACCCGGGTCTCTCTGGACCGCAGGCCGACGCTCTAACCGCTGAGCCAAACCGGCCAGGGCTCATTTTTTAATTGGTCTGTCTTCCTTTTGTTGAGTTGTGTATTTTGGAAATTAACCCCTTATCAGATGTATCAATGGCAAATATGTTCTCCCATACGTTTTCTTCCAGGATTTTTAAGGCTTTACGACTCACATTTGATATTTTTTCCTTTGTTTCCTAGACGATGTGTCGGTAAAAATTTTGCTATGTGAGGTCTGAGATTTTGCTCCCTACATTTTCTTCTAGGAGTTTTATGGTTTCACAACTTATATTTAAATCTTTTATCCATTTGAGTTTATTCTTGTGTATGGTATAAGTTGGTGGTCTAGTTTCATTTTCTTGCATGTACCTGTCCAATTTTTCTAACACCCTTTACTGTCTTTACTCCATTGTATGCTTTGCCTCCTTTTGTCAAATATTATTGAGCATACTGTCTTGGGTCAACTTCAGGATTCTCTGTTCTGTTCCATTGATCTATATGCTTGTTCTTGTGCCAGTACCAGATTGTTTTGATTACAGTGTCCTTGTAGTGTAACTTGATATCCTGTATTGTGATCCCTCCAACTTATTCTTCTTTCTCTGATTGCTGCAGCTATTTGGGATCTTTTTTGGTTCCACATAAATTTCTGGAGTATTTGTTCTAGATCTGTGACATATGCTGTTGGTATTTGTTGTTGTTGTCGTTAATCCTCACCCAAGAATATTTCTCCACTGATTTTTAGATAGAGTGGAGGTGGGGGAAGAAAGAAGAAGAGAGGGGAGGAGAGAAAGAGAGGAGAGAGAGAAACATCAGTGTGAGAAAGACACATCAACTGGCTGCCTCCAGCATGACCCTAACCACAGCTGCAGATTGAACCTGCAAACCAGACACATGCCCCCAACCAGGAATTGAAGCCACAACCCCTTGGTCCTTGGGCCAACGCTCTAACAGCTGAACCAAATTGGCCAGGGCCCATTGGTATTTGAATAGGGATTGCATTGAATCTATAGATTGCTTTGAGTAGTATGGCTATGTTAATTCTTCCAATCCATGAACATGGTATATCCTTTCATCAGAGAGATGCAAATTAAAATGGCAATGAGGTATCACCTCACACCTGCCAGAATGGCTACCATCAGCAAATAAACAAATAACAAACACTAGTGAGGATATGGAGAAAAAGTAATCCTAATACACTGTTGGTGGGAATGCACACTGGTGCAGCCACTATGGAAAACAGTGTGGAGCTTCCTCAAAAAATTAAAAATGGAACTGCCATTCGACCTCATGATCCCACTTCTAGGAACATATCCTAAGAATCCCAAAACATCAACCAGAAAGAATATGTGCACCCCTACATTCATAACAGAATTATTTACAATAGCTTGGATCTGGAAACAGCCCAAGTGTCCATAAGCAGATGAGTGGATAAAAAAAGCTGTGGTACATTTACATAATGGAATATTATGCAGCTGGAAACAAGAAGGATCTATTCCTCTTTGAGACAGCATGGAGAGACCTGGAGACTATTATTCTAAGTGAAATAAGCCAGTCAGAGAAAGACACATATCACATGATCTTATTTACATGTGGAATCTAAAGAATAAAAAAAAACAGAGGCATGAAAACATGGAACAGACTGACAAATCTCAGAGAGAAGGGATGTGTGCGTGTGTGGGGGGGGAAGAGATTAACCAAAGAACTTATATGCACATATGCATTGCCCATGGACACAGACAACAGGGTGGTGAAGGACTGAGCTGAGCCGGGTGAAGAGGGAGCACTGGAGTAGGGTAAGGGGAACATTTGTAATATTCTCAACAATAAATATAAAAAAAGAAAAAATAGTTAAAATGGTAAGTTTTATCATAATAAAAAGAAGAAATAGAAACAGGTTTAGTTTCTTTTCATTTATCTCTCTTTACACAAAAAGTTTGAAATGTCTAACTATGATATTGAAGACATTACATACACTATTTCTTTTCTTTTACCTGCAGTGATCATGGATTTAAAGCAGGACTTCTGGTCTATTCGCGGCCATATGATATATTTTGCCTTTGGTCTTTTGTGTCGTAATGTCAAGAAACACAGAGTTAGACTCATACCAGTTGCCATAGGCACTACAAAGCAACTTGTCACTGTATGGACACCTAGGGATAAGAAGTAAAACAGAAATTAGTTATTCCTTGGAAAAACCAGCATTCTTCTTGAAGAAATGATATACTTCTAGCAAATAATAAGAATTGTTGATTTAGTGCTTCTTCTTCTGTATTCACTCTCAGGAAGCTCATTGCCAAATTCATCCTCCATGCTTATGGCTCTGATTTTCTATCTTACACTAAAGGTGTTTTTTTTATATACACACATGTCTTTTCAAAAGTCACTGATATCCTTTTTAAAAGAGACATTAATAAAAGAAATTAGACAAAGGCATGTGTGGCTGGTCAGGCAAAAGTATTATGATTAACACAGTACATACCAGCCATCTTTATGATGTCCAGGACCAAAGAATTGGTAATTTTGTTCAAAAGGCTAGAACCTGCCGCTTTTGGTTGCACAGCAGAAATATCACCCGATCGTCCAATTCCATGAATGAACCTAAGCAAAAAATGGGCCAACAACTGGACAAAAATATTCAGTGTTCTAAGTAATCCACTATATAACTATACAAATACAATAACCAAAAAAATACCAGAAGCAATACTTGACTATTGTAGGTATATTTCATAAAGTATTAATAATATAAAAATATCCTACTGAAACAAATTCATCAATTATGCTGTGATATCTAGTCTCCAAAGTTGGCCACCATTAATTCCTTTTCTCCCTATGCCCATATGGTACTGCCACACCAAGTGATGGGTCTAATTCCCTCCACTTGAATCTTGCCTGGCCTTAGAAACTTGATCAGCCAGACAGAATCTAGCAGACGTGATGGTCTGGATGATCTAAGTTAGAGCATAAGAAATCTTAAATCTTCCTACCAAGCCTCTTGAAAGGCTTGCTCTTGAGGGACTCCCTCTTATAATCCAGATGCCATGCTGGGAGAAGCCAAAGCCACATGGAGACGCCACTTGAGCTCCCAGCAATTTAAGTGTGTCACCTTGAATAAATTGCCCAGTTGAACCTTCAGATGACTAAACCCTCAGCCAATATTTGACTGCAACTACATGATAAACCCAAAGCAATCATCACCCTGATGAGCCGTTAACCCAGAGAACTATGAGACGATAAATGATTGTTTTAAGTCACTAAGTTTTTGAGTGGTTTGTTGTGCAATAGTAGAAAAGCAAAATAAATGCAACATTAAATTCTCCTTTCTTTCCTGTTCCTCTAACCACAGCAGGGGGCTAAGTTCCAATGGGAATGAATTGCTATTTCAAATATTGCCTTTATCCATTCTTTGAAAATTCATGTGCAAATCCACTCATTTTAAATGAGATGTTATACACTATTTAAAAATACCTTTGAATATTCTTCAAAATCAAAAATCTATTTGTAATTTATAGTTAAATAGATTGGAAATTCTGCACACTGGAATTATTACAGAATACTAGTGTCACACTTCATTACCACTGAAACCTCATGTACAAAGACTTTTTTATAGATTAATATCAACCATTATCAACCCACTTTTAACATTAATTTTTCACCCAAGTTATATATTCATTATCACTAGTTTTAACTGCAATAGGGTTTTTTTTTTTAACTGACGCATATAATTGACATATAACATCATGTTAGTTTCAGGTATAAAAAATAATGATTCTGTATTTGTATCTATTGTAAAATGATCACAAGTCTAGTTTACATCCATCACCACACACAGTAACAAATTTTTCTTTCCTATGATTACAACTTTTAAGATCTACTCTCTGCAACTTTCAAATATGCAATACAGTATTATTAATTATAGGCACCATGCTATACATTATATCCCATGACTTATTTATTTTATAATTTGAAGTCTGTACCTTTTTATTGAACTACAGGTTTGGTGGTTTTGATTGAAATAAAATTCTACAATGGTATGGGAAATTTCATCATGATTTAAAATCATGGAAGACAGGAGTTTTTAAGAGTTTATCTGTATTTCACAGAAAGGTTGAAGAATAAATTATATTTGGAACCACTGTCAATTAAATGGTTATCAGAATTGATGAAAAGCTTTTCAAAAAATACAAAAGAGTGACTTATTAATCTAAAATTAAATGTAATATACCTTTTCCTACATCTCTTGAAACAAAGCAAGGTGCTTATAAAATGGGATTCCGTTTAGATGCAGATGAACAATGATTTCAAGCTCTACCTATATATCATTCTCTAAATAATCCTGCAAAAGAAACTTGGAAAACTATAAATAACCTTAACATATTTATTTTTTTATCCTCACCGGAGGACATTTCTCCACTTTTGTTCAGATACAGCAGGAGAGAGAGAGAAATATCGATGTGAAAGGGACACATTGAGTGGCTGCCCCAGCACGACCCCAACCAGGGCTGGGACGAATCGCAACTGAGGTAGTGTCCTAGGCGAATCACTGGTCCGCAGGCTAACCGCTGAGCCAAATTGACCAGGGCAACCCTAACATATTTTAAACTCTTACAAATAATAAGTTTATTAAGTTAAGTATTTTTTTTTTTTAATCCTCACCCGAGGATATTTTTCCATTTTTTGTACAGATAGAGTGGGAGGGAGAGACAGACAGAAACATCGACGTGAAGGGACACATCGAGTGGCTGCCACCCGCACGACCAACCAGGGCCGGGCACAAACTGCAACCGAAGTACGTGCCCTTAGCGGGAACCGAACCGGGTCTCTCCAGACCGCAGGCCGACGCTCTAACCGCTGAGCCAAACTGGCCAGGGCTAAGTTAACTATTCTTAACAGAACGTATAGCCAGTATTGTTAACCACTCCAAGTACTTTCACCCTATTATCTTGAAAAGCAGCTATTCAGATTAAATTGTTGCATCCAGTTTACATGCCCATTTGACCAGGGAAGTAGGTTCCAAACAGACATTTTATGATCTCATATGATGAATACTGCCACCATTGTTTTTAGCAAAAAAAGAAAAAGAGCAAGAAAAATGTTTTCACATGCTATTTGAAAAAAATACCTGTAATGACGCCGAGCAACTAAAGCCGATGCCACTCTCCCTTCCCTTTCTCCCACACCACAATTGCCCAGGAAGTTGTTGCTATCCATGATTGCCAGTTCATGCAGAAAGAGTTCCAGTGTACTTTCATCCCAACCATCCTCGGGACATTTGCCCTTAAAACCAACAAAAAACACATAATGATATTAGATTATAATATAATTATATTTAAGACGGTTTCATCGTTCCTTAGAACCCATTTCAGTGCATTTTACAACTGTTTAATGCGTTATTTTGCCATGCTCCTTGCTGTCTGAAATTCAGACAGAAACTGAGCTCCACGAAGAAACCTCAAATAGGCGAAACGTGTGTTACACTGCGTTACAATCATCTTCAGATTGCGAGAAAGGATACATGAAGATGAGATGTCCTTAGGTTTAAAGTTGCGGTAAGTGAAGGTGACTGAAACCCAATAAAATCTTATCTTCAGTGAAGAGTCTTCAAACCTCAGTGTTAGAACTAGAAGCTGTCAAACTTGAGTGGAATTAAAATTCGGAAACGCCGTGACCCGCGCTGTTCCCGGGCAGCGCCAGGCTCGAGTTGGCACACCCGGGTTTACAAACACGTGTGCCCGGAGTCCTCGGCAAGGGTGCAAGAGGGCAGCTGCGAACTTTGCCCTCTCCGCAAACAAAAAAGCCAACGGGGACTTCCGCTCCCTTCCGTATCCCGAAGTTTCACAAAAGGGGACTCAAATTCTCGACCCCACACACCTCCTAACAACACTCTCTGGGATCTGCCCGCTCTGGCGAGTCGGCACCGAGCTGGGACAGCCTCTGGGGACAGGTCTCGGCCATCACACGGGGGGGGGGGGGGGGGGGACTGAGCAGCAGCAGGAGAACCGGGCGCAGCCGGGGGGCGCGGCGGCTGGGGACGGGCCCGACAACTCGGTACCTTCTCCAGAAGCAGCCGAATGAGGTGCTCATGCGAGCGGCGGGCCTCACAGCCCTGTCGCACGTAAGCCGGCGACACCAGCCTCTCGCCGGCTGCGAAACTCTCCCGGTTCATTTTGGCGGTAGCAACCGTGGCGGGAAAACAGTCGACACGAGAACGACACGCGACAGAATTAGGACGCAACAGACAGCTAGGAAGGTACGGGGAGGCCTTGGGTCAAATAGCTCGCCTTGCTCTCGCACATGCGCGAACCGCTCCAGACGGTGCACCAGAAACTGAAGAATTTGAGCATGCGCAGGGGTGTCAGCGCGTTGAGCCGGCCTCAGAGGGTACTGAAAATTAGCCCCGCCTCGCTGCCTCTGATTGGTCCAGTTAATCCCTAGCGTTTCCGAGGCGGATTTCAGGTAGGAGTTTGTGCTTCTGTGGAAGAGCTGAGGGAAAGGAGAGGCCCGCTGAGTGGGGTTCTCTGAAGAAAAGTTTGCCACGTTACTCTGTGTTCCTGTGGAATGGTGAGATTTGCGCTGAGTCTGTCCTCCAGCCTTCCTTATACCGTGTTTCTCAGATTCCAGAACATTCATCCTACATCCAAACGTCTCACAACCCCATGTGAAACAGCAATTCTCCACTCCTTTGCACTGCGGAATTTTATTACAACCCACCACCTATGTGATAGACATTTGTTCTCACACACACACGAATGTAAACTCCCTAAAGACAGGGCCGGGGTTTTTACTGCCATACCCACCCCACCCCCAAAGTCCTAGAATAATGCCCAGGATACAGTAAGGGCTAATTTTTTTTTTTTTTTTTTGCATTAATGATTTACGTTGACCATTCAACACCTAGGGCTCGATGCCAGAGATGCAGAAATGAGAAGACAGGATCATCGCCTTTGATTTCCTTGGAATCTTCAACTTAGGTGAATCTGCAGTAATTCATGACGTTGCTCTTGTCCAAGTGTGTGCTAAAGCCCATTTTCACTGGTTCATACCCCTTTGCAAGAGCTGATTGTTAAATGTTCAGTAATTTTGTGAGCTGGTTCTAAAATGCAGCTGCTTTGTAACAACAAATTAGATAAGTTTACAGTTAAGTTAACATATTAGAAACAAAGGAATAAATGCTCAAATTCATCACTTCCTAATTATTTTACTATTATCTCTGCTTTTGACATTATTTACATAGATTATATCTGTATAGTGGAAATAGGATATAATGGTGTGCGGCTGTACATCTCTATCCAACTTCCTTTTTGAAGGCATTATGTTGGTAGCTTGAAATTGGCTGTGGTGGGAGTATTTACACCATGGAAATAAGCAAACACTAAACATCAGTCCCTTACCTTACTATCCTCACCCTACCAGGAGTCAGTGGTTTAACATGTACCAATTCACCAGTGTTCCTACTTCATGTTCCCAGGGCATCCTGCTATTTGTCAGCCATGGTACTTGTTAAAATGCACTTCAGTTGTTAACTTTATGTCTTCCTTAACTAGACTCTGAGCTCCTGCTAGAAAGGGCTATATTTCATATCTATGTTCAAAGCACACACTGAATACGTAATAGAAGTTCAACAAATATTTGTTGAATGATGTAGACAATTTGAGAACTGTGTATAACTACACAGAAAGATAAATCGCAAAAATAATGAGGATTTAGCTTATTTTAAAAAAATAAGCATTAGCCTTCAAACTTATAAGTTGAGATCTTATCCCCAAAATGCAACTAGTTTTACAACTTTTCCTTTGTAGAAGACTTCAAAGCTGCTTGGTCAATCACATGCAAAATGTACAAACATCCCACTTACCATTGCAGCAAAAAAATTAAGATACCTAGGAATAAACTTAACCAAAGAAGTAAAGGACTTCTTCACAGAAAACTACAGCACACTGGAAAAAGAAATAGAGGAAGATATAAAAAAGTGGAAGCACATACCTTGTTCATGGATTGGAAGAATTAACATCATTAAAATGTCCATACTACCCAAAGCAATCTATAGATTCAATGCAATCCCCGTCAAAATACCAACAACATACTTCACAGAACTAGAACAAATACTTCAGAAGTTCATATGGAACCAAAAAAGGCCCCGAATAGCCACAGCAATCTTGAAAAAGAAGAATAAGGTAAGAGGGATCACAATACCGGATATCAGATTCTACTACAAAGCCATTGTAATTAAAACAACCTGGTACTGGCACAAGAAGAGGGATATAGAACAATGCAACAGAAGAGGGAACCCAGAAATACACCCAAGACAGTATGCTCAATTAATATTTGACAAAGGTAGCAAGAGTATACAATGGAGTAAAGACAGCTTCTTTAATAAATGGTGCTGGGAAAATTGGACGGCTACATGCAAAAAAATGAAACTAGACCACCAACTTACACCATACACAAGAATAAACTCAAAATGGATAAAAGATTGAAATGTGACTCATGAATCCATAAAAATCCTAGACGAAAATGTAGGCAACAAAATTTCAGACATCACACGCAGCAGAATTTTCACTGATACAATGCCTAAGGCAATAGAAACAAAAGGAAAAAAATGAATAAATAGGACTACATCAAACTAAAAAGTTTCTACACGGCAAAAGAAAGAACCATCAAATGGAAAGGGAACCTACTATATGGGAGAGCGTAATTGCCAATGATACATCAGTTAAGGGGTTAATTTCCAAAATATATAGAGTACTCATACAACTCTACCAAAGGAAGACAAAAAACAAAAACAAAAAATGGGCAGAGGACCTAAATAGACATCTCTCCAAACAGGAGTTACAAATGGCCAAGAGACATATGAAAAAATGCTCAGTGTCACTAATCATCGGAAAGATGCAAATTAAAATGACAATGAGGTATCACCTCACACCTGCCAGAATGGCTGCCATTAACAAATTATCAAACAACAAGTGCTGGTGAGGGTGTGGAGAAAAGGGGACTCTAGTACACTGTTGGTGGGAATGCAATATGGTGTTTCCTCAAAAAATTAAAAATTGAACTGCCATTTGACCCAGTGATTCCACTTCTAGGAATATACCCTAAGAAGCCTGAAACACCAATCAGAAAGAATATATGTACCCCCATGTTCATAGCAGCACTATTTACAATTGCTAACATCTGGAAACCGCCTAGTGTCCATCAATAGATGAGTGGATAAAAAAACTGTGTTACAGCCCCGCCGGTGTGGCTCAGTGATTGAGCATCAATCCATGTACCAAGAGGTCACCAGTTTGATTCCCGGTCACGGCACATCATCTCACTTATTTGTGGAATATAGTGAACAAAATAAGCAGATGAACCAAACAGACCCAGAGATATAGAAGTAGGGTTCAGATTGACAAATCTCAGGGGAGGCGGGCAGTGGGGGGGGGGGGGGGGGAGAGATAAATCAAAAACTTATATGCATATATGCATAACCAGTGGAAATAGAAAACAATGCTGTGGGGGTTGAGGGGGCAGGATCAAGAGGAGGGTGTCAATGGGGGAAAAAGGAGAAACATCTATAACAAAAATAAATTAATAGAAAAAAATATATGATAATTCCAAGATCTGTCTCACTATTGAATGCACACACTAGATTTTGAGTCAGTAGGTTTCTCACATTATTCACCAGTCTTAATTTAGAAAAGTTTGTTTCCAAAAACTAAATCCATGAAGACATGCCATCATTGAAGGATTTAAAAAATTCAGGCTCTGGAGATCATTTCAGAAGAAGTGTTCCAAAATTATTTTCATCCATTCACCCACCCAATGAAAAATTTTGAGTGCCTACTATTTCTAACATATAAGTCAGCATCAGAATAATTTTATGGTCTCTGCAAGATGTAAAAATAAGTCCAACATTTGTAGGTCTGAATTTTGCAGTGTCACTAGTTGTATGGACTTGGATATATTACTCATAGTCCCTGAGTTTTGCTTTCCTCATCTGTAAAATAGGGACGTAGAGGAGATAGCTATGGTGATTAAATGAAATCTAACTGCTCAATGACATCTTCACCTTAAGGACCAGATGAGAACCCCAACCCACAGTCCGGGCATCAAGTAGCCCAGGAAGCCAAACCAAAATCCCCACAGCAATCTGCCTAGAAAATTAGAACATAGTCAATGACTGCCAGTTTCCCAATATTTTTATTTGCTTCCAACTCAGAACAAACCAGAGTGAGCCAAATATGTTCACCAAACCAATGATATAAGATGCTCATTTCTTTAGCCAACCTCCATCTTCCCCTTGCCAACAACCTCCAACCAGAGCACCTAAACCTTTCCTCATTCTTTTAGCATAAAGCTTTTCTACTCCCCTGCCTGCCTTTGAGTCTTCCAAATGCAAGTGATAGTGACTAACTCCCTTGCTCTAGCAAGCTCTGAAAATCCGTTAGTTATTTGGGTGGTCTTCATTTATTTCCACAGTTTTCCTGAAGACTCCACTGAGACACAGTATGCACTGCCAATCACCATGGACCCCAGCTTTCAACTACATAAGGTACCCACAGAGGGCTCTTGTACCTTGATGCTTGTGGCTTGTCAAGTCTTTGTCATCGTGGTGTGTCAGTGCTGGATATGAACTCTGCTGTCTTTGCATTGAGTTCCTAAGCTATTCTAAATTGGGTACTCAGGTTTTGTCACTAGTTCCCATTTGTTAGGTGTCCTTGGTGGAATCAGGCTATTCCTCTTGATCCTTGTAGGCTCCCTTTTGTACTTCTGTTTTGTATTGGGCTGCCTAAAAGTGTTGTTTGTCATAAGAAGAATCACAGGGTGGAACACAGACACAGGCCCTCATAAACCTGTTGTTGAGCAGCCTTACAGACCAATGAATTTGCAGTTCTTTCCAGACTGGCATCCGTTTGAACAAATTTTGCTGGGGAGAAACTATAAAACTAGGGGAGCTTCCTTCTGTCTTGAAGTTTTGTTTTGCTTTGTCCTGAGTTTTCCTTTAATTTAGAGAGCTTACTCTAATTTGCCACCTGCCTTAGGGCACAGATTGTCAGGTCTGTGTTCAGAGGGGGCCAACCATCAGGTGACAGGGCCTGAGACATTAATAGCACAAGCATCACTTTCAACTAGCCGATGCCAGATCTCCACGGGTCCTCTAAGCCTAAATCCTCCCCTCCTCCAGGAAAAACAGCTGCTTCTTATATGTGTTCTCATTGCAATCCTAATTCTGGTGCTTAGTTCTCCAAGTGGTATAACTTCAGCAGTAAGGTTTTGGTCCTTCT